TTTTTTTTTTTTTTTTTTTTTCCCTTGAAAAGCTGCTGAAGTGTTAGCGGTGATGAACATGGCTTGCAGCACTTGTAACTTCAAACTTGGTTTCAAAAAGCAATGAGCCATCTGAAGACTTCTTAAAAACCATTGTTTCTTTTTTTCCTACCCCTATTAATACAGAGACTTGAGATCCACAATGTTCATTCTACCTTATTCAGTTCATCAGCGGGTTGCATATACTGTATGTGTTTTACATGTTAATTTCCTTTACTTTGTAGAAAAGGGTAAATTTGGTTTCCATTCAGATATTTTCCATGTTCTGTTCTATAAGAAGCACTTCTGACACTAAGGCCTGATTCACACCTAGGCATTTTTGAGCAGTAGAAAAAGCACTTTTAAACGCCCAACGCAAAAAAATCCCATGATTTTCAATGGACCCTGTTCAGCAAAACGCCAAGCGCATAAAAAAAAGTACACAAGCATTTTTTGGTCGTTTCAAGCTTGTTTTTCCCCCATAGACTTCAATGGAAAAGCCAGGAAACGCGGCAGAAGCATGTTGCACATTTTCTTGTTTTGTTTCTTGAGCTGCCAGTCAAAATGTGCATTATCATAAAACATTTGGCAAACGTGCAAAAAACCACATGCTGAACCCACTCGCACAAATGCGCAAAAATTATGCCGCCTAGGTGTGGCACCGCTTCCACGCCCCCCGCCCGCAGTGCGATCGGACGTGTGGCAAAACGTTGCCTGCGTTTCGTTCCACCGCAGTGGAAGTGGAACGCAGGCAAAGTTTTGCTACGCGTCCGATCGCACTGAGGGCGGGGGGGCGTGGAAGCGGTGCCATTGAATTCAATGCACCGCCACGCCCCCTCCCGCCCCACAATGCAGAGAGAAGATCCCTTAGTAAGAGTTGTGTTTGTTGGGCTACAGTTCAACTTTTTTGTTGTTGGAAAGCCAAACTCAAGCCAAAACATTTGTGTATTGATTATATAAGGTTTTCAAAAACTGTGTTTGGACATTTTGGTTATTTCTCCTCACTTCGTGTCTCTTGGATGAAGTGTGTGGGGAAATTTCACCACCACGAATATAAGGACATGTCTCATGTCTCTCCCCAGTATGTCACAGCTGTCAGTGCTGGAGGCATGTACTGTCTCAGCATAGCTTTTTTTTCTTACTGTCCATTGTTTTTTTTGTTTTTTTTTAAACAGGGTGGTCCCAGACAATAAATGACTCTAGTTGTCTAGTTTAGGATATCAGATCATTTGCATGTTAGTGGCCCTCCCCGTTTCAAATACTGAGACAGAATCTAATGGGCTATATTTAGATATGTGGACAGCTGTGCCATTTATAACCTATAAAAAAACAAACAGTTTTAGACATGAATTCTTCTCTAAAGTAAAAATAAATCCACCTTATTTGAAAATCAGAAGAGGTTGTCTGACAAGAGATCATATTATATCTGTAGCCTTTGATGCTGTGGTCATGTTGACTGATGATCTCACCATGGTTCTATCCGCCTGAATAAATGTAGCATGCATGTTGTGTTTGTGTTATGCATGGAACTGTTTTGGGTTTCTCAATACTTATATGAAATTCCACTGGTTATAAACAGACTGCATAAAACATGAAGTTTTTCAACTTAAAGCGAAGTTAAAAATCTAAATGTGGCTCATCGAAAAAATATTTCACTTTCCTAGAGAAAATACTGCTCTAGGCTCCCACAAGTGCTGACCATGCGACCAAAAGCCTAGATCTTTGGTGGTATGATCTCGGCAGAAAAGGGCTGCCCTTCAAAAAGATCACATAACAAACATACATGCTTTTAGTTGTGTAAGCTGCATTAGAGTAAACGTGGAGCAGCATTGAAGGTGACTATTTTAGCTCATGCTTTTTATCCAACCATGCATTACGATTTTAACCTCTTATTAGCATTTGACTTTAGGTCTACCATAAAGTAGAGTGTCCATTTTATACTTGCGTGTCACTGCTTTAGTCTCTGTTCATTTCTATAGAGAAGACTATTATTTAGGTTCTATGGTGGAGGCCTTTCTATAAAAATAACAGATTCTTCTTCAAAGAAGACTTATGAAGTTCTAGTAATGCAGCACTCGGTGGGTCACATAGCAAATTATATCTTGGAA